TATATATATATACGTAGATGTATATATATATATATATATAAAATCCAGCATTGCGGCAATTGAAAAGTCTTCATCTACGTCGATCCATTCTTTTTGAATAAACATGATCTCGTTTTGTATGTGTATTCTGCGCATTTTTATAGTGGTCCAGAGCCTACATACTGCGAATATCAGATTGACAGCGTTGAGATCTTTCAGCATCATGAACCTCTGAAGCTCGCCTATGGTGATACTTTGCCTGGCTTTAGATTGGCATACGAGGTATGTGCCGAGCGTTCAACTGAGCTGAAGTTATGGATATAGATCAATTACCTTTATAAATGTATGGAGTATATCTCGAGTATAGACTCCCTATGAAGTTAGCTATTTGTATCCATTTGCGATCATTCAACCGTTGCCCTATTAGATACAATATTGGATATGATTTCGACATCGCTCCTCAATTCCTGGGTTATAATAAACTATTCATTGTATATGATGTACGATACAATCGCGCATTTGATCACCATAGCTATACAAACATGCTCGTACCGCTTAGTGTATGTAGGTGTATATATAGAGTTGCGTCTAACTAGGTTATCATGCACGTGTGAGTTGCAAAATATTAGGAAGGAGGGTTGGTGTATGTGCGCATGATGCACTTTCGACCTCGACTGGATAAGCTGTTTTAGACCATATTGAGATTCATTTCATATGCTCAAGGTTATGTAGGTACAAACGCACATACACGCACGAATACATATCGATATGTGTTCACCAATTATCATCAGAGCCGTATCCATGTTCATTATCCATTTTCAGCACTGAATACATCCAAATAGGTCATCGCCCTCGATAATGTTACAAGTATCCCTATACATATGTACACATGTTGGACAACACTCTCCGGTATGCCATTTATGCAGCTCATGCATGGTATGCCATTCATGCAGCTGTCTTCTCTAATTCCGACCAAGACCATCTTGGCCTACCATTCTGCAACACGTGACAGGGAGTATACCCAATGCAGATATAGCCTTCTTCCATCCGTCTCAATAAAACATTGAAGCCACATTGTACGCTGCAAGTACTCTTGCCGATACATTGCACACACCCATTAGCCACCTATTCCAGTGATGCAGGTGAGTGGTTCATCCATCACAGTATTATATCATCAGCACAACACAGACGTCGGGAATGTTCCAAACTCGCATTAGAGCAATGCCATTCTCCCCAGTCACGCTCTGATGCCACACCACACGCCACTAGCACTACAATAAATCCGTCTGTTGCTCACACCTACAACCCCGTCCTTCATCTGTCGTGAACCTTGCCTGTGTGTTCATCTATTACCCCTATACCACATCGATACCACACAGACATGGGGGACCCTCAACGCCGACAAAAGCAACGTTATCGTCCTCAACCACGCTCTGAGCGCCTCATCACACGCCGCCAGCACTAAGGCCGATCCCTCGCGCGGCTGGTGGGAGGACTTTGTAGGCCCCTGTAAGACCATCGACACCAACAAGTTCTTTGTGGTCTGTGCGAACAATCTGGGCTCCTGCTTCGGTTCTACGGGACCGGCGGACGAGGCAAAGGATGGGAAGCTCGTTGGTAGGCATTCGAGTATTGTGTGTATTTGTGTATCTATACTGATCGGCTGCACGCAATCACTGCGATAGTTACATCTATGTAGATGAATTACC